GAAGGGGGGAGTCTAGTAACCATAATGTTCATGTAATTGTAGATTAATGATAATAAAATTTAAAAAAAAAAGCATACAGGATCCCAGACTGAAAAAGACATAGGCACCCCTACGTTTATTGCAGCACTATTTACAATAGTCAAGAAATGGAAGCAACCTAAGTGTCTATCAATAGATAGGCACCCCTACGTTTATTGCAGCACTATTTACAATAGTCAAGAAATGGAAGCAACCTAAGTGTCTATCAATAGATGAATGGATAAAGATGTGGTACACATATGCAATGGAATATTATTCAGCCATAAGAAGAAAACAAATCCTACCATTTGTAACAACATGGATGAGCTAGAGGGTAGTATGCTCAGTGAAATAAGTCAGTTGGAGAAAGACAAGTACCAGATGATTTCACTCATCTGTGGAGCATAAGAACAAAGCAAAAACTGAAGGAAAAAAACAGCAGCAGAATCACAGAACCCAAGAATGGACTAACAGTTACCAAAGGGAAAGGGACTGGGCAGGATGGGTGGGAAGGGAGGGATAAGAGGAAAAAGGGGTATTATGATTAGCACACATAATGTAGTGGGTGCGGCAGGGGAAAGGCAGTATAGCACAGAGAAGACAAGTAGTGATTCTACAGCATCTTATTATGCTGATGGACAGTGACTGTAATGGGGTATGTGGTGGGGACTTGTTAATGGGGGGAATCTAATAACCACAATGTTGCTCATGTAATTGTGTACCAATGATGCCTTAATAAAAAAAAAAAGACTTAACTAGATGGAATTAGCTTCAGAAAACGATTTGAGGCTGCTTGAATGCTTAAGAATTAAATGGAGATGTAGAAGCAAGCAAGTTACTTAAAGTAATTTAAAGTAAAACATTAACACAGGAATCCAGTCACTTCCTTACTAGTGGTGTTGCTGTACTATGCATATTACTCATCGGTGAATATTTATGTAACTTTTCATATGACTGAAGGCTCTATGCAGGCAATTCTTGTGGGTTTTTTTTCTTCCCTTTTCTCTTCTTTAACCCAACAACCACCAACTGAACACAGCCTGGGCATTGTAACAATTAAGAATATTTTGCCATTGACCTTAATCGATATTTTGGGGTAGGTAAAACCCAAACCCCCGAGAAAAATCCAGACGAATACTAACTGGGCGTTTTCTTTCATCCTTTTAAGAAATGGACTAGTGCCGATTCACTTTTTTAAAGGGTATTGTTTTTTTAGCCAACAAACACATTGGGTTTTTACTCACCGATTTCCTCTGATTCCTGCCCAGAGGCTCTAAGCTTGCATTCCTTTGGATAGTGTTTTTGAATTATCTCCCACAGTTCCGTATTAACAAGAGAATTTCTGCGGGTATGGTACCGGGTCCAGGAAGAGACCCGGCGGCGACAGAAGGGACAGCATAAACTTGCCTTTTCGACAGTCGATTGGAAGCATGGATTACAGAGCGTGTGGTTACAAGGGAGTGTTACGGGCTCGATTAGGATTTCCACACAGATCCCGCACTGGCATTCCGACAAGGAAGGGATGGAGTCTTTGCGCGCAGCCATTTTAATATGGTAATGAGGCACAGTCTACATCAGCACCTGAAAAGAACCGTATTTCTGGCCCAACTCCAGAGAATGCAAATTCCCAGTTTTGTGTTTAATTATGCCCAGCAGCGTATCAGAATTCAGAGACTGGGAACATCAAAGACGTCTCGAAGCAAAAAGGTGCTCTGCCGGCCCGGTAAACAATCCTATATCCTAGGAGGCGGTGACTTTGTCCATGTTTAAGACAAACGTCAGTTAAAACAAACATTTCGGTCGGGAGACCTTGGCTGCTCTGAAGCATCACATAACTGGTGCAGTAGGGCGCGTGGTGGGCTCTGGCTTTGAGGTGCGGCGGGAGGCCTGCGCCAAATGCCAGCCCTTGCTCTTACCAGGTGAGGATGCTTCCTTCGCCCGGGCTGCAAAGCCCGAGGCTCCGCGTAGCCTCAGCAGCAAGAAGAACGCTATTTCCGCCGGGACGCCGGGCTCTGATGGTGCAAGACTTACGTTTCCCGTTGCCTGGGGACAGCGCACGAGCTTAAGTGGTCCAGCGGTCCGGCGCCTTCGCTGTCTCACTGCGCTCCGAGCCGCTTGGTCCCCTCTCTTCAGTCTGCTAATGAGCCCGATCATGAACGAAGCGCAGTAGCAACCCGTTCAGGGGTAGTGACGCCATGACTGCCCGCCAAAAAATGGCCCCACCCCCAAAGAACAGCCTATGGGCAGAGACGTCAAGCGTTCGGCAGCGGTGGACTTCCGAGGCGGTGCGCGCTCTGGCCCCGCCCCTAGCTTGGGAGTCGCTGTCCCTCCGCCTGCGGAGAGAGCGGAGCCGAATCTTACCGTTTCCAGCTGTCAGAGGCTTCGGAACCCCGAGTGTCGCGGGATTAGTCTTTACGCTAATAAGGGAAACCTCAAAACAAATGGAAACACTGAACAGTTATTTCTTAAATTCTTCCTCTGGTACGCCTCAGAGTACTTTTCTGTGTCTGTTAATTTGTAGCTAAACCTCTTAAGTCGCTTTCCAAAGTTGGCTAGGAAATGATGGGGATTAAGTAAAGACTGTGATCCCTAGTACTTAAGAACCAAGCCTCAGAGCCAGGAAGTAGTATGGTAGTTCCCAGGGACTGGGAGAGTTACTGTGTTGTGGGTATAGTTTCAGTTTTCAGATGGAGGTGGTGATGGTTGCACAATATTATGAATGTACTTAACACCACTTAACTGTACACTTAGAAATGGTTAAGATGGTAAATTTTACGTATATTTTACAATAAAAAAGGTTTTTGGAAAAAAAAAGAACGACGCCTGAGTTTTTTGAGGAAATGTTTCCTCTGCCTAGGGCTGCAGTTGCATTTCTGGAATCTCTGGCTTTTCCTTCCACTTCTGGACTTCCGTGAAACATTGTACTGAACAGTACCGGCGCCGGCTTCCCAGTGGCTGCTGGGAGGGCTAAGATAATGCATCCTGGAAATACTATGATGGAGTCACTCGCCATGGGGCAAACTTTGGCCAAGTGAAAACAGTAGACTGAGCAATGTGAGCACAACAGAGAAATTCTCTGTTCTCCTTCTTTCCAACGCATGGTTTCTCCATTGTGTCTGGAGAAGGACAAGAGTCAGTATAAGTATCTACCGAGCAAGCTGCTGTGTCTCACAGGTTATTCTCAACGAGGGACCAGCAAGGTGCATCATTTTGTATTACTTCCCATCCTTCTCTACGTCATATCCTCTAGAGTGTTTATTTGTACCTCCCAAATAAAGCATCAGCACTTAACTTTTACCTGAAGGACAAGGTACACATTTTAAAATATTTCTGTTATCCATAGCACCTAGATAATGGCATTCGGTGTTCAATAAGTATTATAAACATATGGTCAATGTGTGAGAGTTCCCTTTCTAATATAAATAGCTTTTACTAGAGAGCAGATGCATGTCAACATACAATACATATTAGGTGTTTTTAAATGTTTTGTCTTTAGGTAATACATATATATGGTTTGAAATTCAGAATGGATTAACAATGAAAAGAGCTCCTCCTACCTTTGACCCCTAGCCTCTTAAGTTTTCTTCTTAAGGCAACCAGTGTTATCACTTTATTATGTATCTCTCCAGAAGTTTATGAGGTTTATAGGTATATTTGCATATATAGGTGTGTGTGTGTGTGTGTGTAACACACAGACACGTTTGCTTTTGCCTTTTTTCCACTTAACAATATATATTGAAAACAAATACTTTAAAACACATTTTGGTGGTAACTGTATTTCATTGTATAGTTATACAAAGAATGTCTTCATTCTCTTATATTGCTACACAGAGTACATCCATTGTATTATCATAATTTGTTTAAAAGGCCCCTCACTTTTGCTAAAAACAATAAAACTGCAATAAATTATACATACATATTGTTTCCCATTTGCAAGATAAACTACTAGACGTGGAATCTCTGGGTCCCAGGGGAACAGGTTAATTTTTGACTGATGGTATCATCTCTTTTAGGGATGACTTTTGCTCTTCTGGGGCTCTTACTGCTTTCCCCTTCTCAATGACCTGAACTGCTCTCAGCAAACCATCCTGCAGAGCCTGGTGCTTTACCATGTTAGTGATCAAGAAAGTGATATCCCTGATGTACATCTGCCTCACTTTAGCAATGTAGTGTTCTGCCTTGTTACCATGTGCAATAAAGAAGGTACAAAGTGCTGTGATATCTCCTTCTTGCAGCCCATACTCCTCCAGGACAGACTCCCATACAACTCTAATGCGCTTGTTCTTGACTTTTCGTCTAAGGACAGAGGCTAAGGTGGGAAGACCTCTCATCAGGTCTGGCAGCTTCTCAAGCACACGGGTGTGCAAGCAGATGAGTACTTCAATGACGCAGCTATATAAAATACTCAATTCCATTGAAGTGAACCTATAAAAAATACAGACAGCTTCTTAAGCAGCAGAACTTTCTATGTGCAAACATTAAATGAATTCTATTAGGATAAGTCAGAGAAGTACAAACCTGCTAGGAGAACCAGTTGTATTTCAGAAAATACTTCAGATATAGGGCCTACTCTAAACCACTCATAGTTCTCAGGCCACTCATAAGTTTCTCAGTGGCAGAGGGGTTAACATTATCTATCGCTGTGTAAGTTAAGATTTTAGCAAATCAGAGATTGTAACTGAGATATTTACTACAATGCTGGCATAAAAATAGGTGCTCAAATTAATCTTTTTTGATTGAAAAAACTAAGAAAATATTGTTTCTTCACAATCCATTGTTGGAATCGTATTAAAAAATTCAGTTTTAGAATGACCACTGAGAGCTTTCAGAAAGCCATGAAAGTCCACTGATGTCTCATTAGATACTCACCTGAGTGCCAGAACTGCTGTCCACAGCTCATCTTGAGCTATCTGGCTTGCCAAAGTCTTGCTATGCTGTTCAAATTTCTGTGTCAGATTATCCTTGCTGAAATCCAATTCTTTAAATTGTACTTCTAAAGCTTGGAGTTTGTGGTCTACTCTATAGGATAAAATAATCAGTTAGTTTAGGTCAGGGGATAAAACCAAAGTTTTGCCTTAAGAGAAGGCTCGAGTACATTGTTTACAACCACTACCAAACTTGGATAGCTATTTAAATGTAACATTATGAACAGATATTCCCATTTGCCATCCTCTAGCTATCATCCTAGTTCCTGTATTCCTTTTACTGTACTTTTGGATTGTCTAGTTACTTTAATTATCTGCCACACCTTGTCTTTTATACTGTACTTTGTACTTTGTACTTGAAAAGCACTTCATACAAGCATTACTTTGATTCTCACAACTATAAGAAGTGATGCAGTCATTTTTATTATTTTACAGAAACAAATAGAGACCTAATATCATGTAAACAGCTAGTGCTATCTCTACCTTAATTCTGACACCCAAATCCTATCCTTCCTCCACTGATAAACTATAATTCCACTGCCTGCTTGAATACCTCAGCCTTTCAACCTGGTGATCTCCTCCCTACCCACTTCATTCTCACAGGACTGCCTTTACCACCTGTCATTCCCCCACTCTTGCTTTCAGAGTTGGCTTTTCATGAACGAAATTGTAAGCTCTTGGATGGAGGGGATCAGAGACTAGTCCTTGGACATCTTTATACTGCCCCCAATACCTAGTAGAGGCTTTACAAATAAGTAATAAAAGGCATATTGCATGATTGACATCTGTGATACAAATGAGAGGCTGAACTGTGTAACCCAACGTGGGGATTTCAGTAGCCCTGAACAATGTTAATCATCATGGGGCACTGTGGCACCGGAATTACATTTCACTGAACCAGAGAGAACTGGAACAACTACACAACTCACTCGCTTGATCACACTGTATTTCATGAAGGAAGTGATACACAAAACACATACCATTTCCCTGAACTTTTATGTTGTCAGTGACCTGAATATCTGTGTGGTGTCAAGGTTCTGTCCTGATCATCTTCTCTTCTCAGTTCTTACTTTCTTCTAAGGCTAATTCAGCTTCAGGTACCACCTCTCTCCTAAGCTCTAGAACTGTATCTTCAACTCTGTTTTGTACATTTCCACTTGGATGGAGATGTCAAACTCAACTGTCCTAAACTAAACCTACTAATTATACTCATCACTGACTCCCTCTTCAGAAATCACTGCTGTGGAATTATCTCACTGCTTTGGATTCTATTTAAGACATAGATAAGTCTCAGTATGAAATATTTTTGCAGGAGTAGAAACCTGCATGACCTAATATGCTGGCAATCTCTGTTTACACATCAAAACAATGTCTGACATACTGTTTGCACTAACTTTTAGACCTCTAAGACTATACTGCATATAGGTCATCTCTATCTTGATTTCCAGAGGAACTCTGGCTTTTCAGTCAGTTTAAAATTTTACAATTGCAGTTCTTTAGAATTCCCTCACTAAAAGGCATTCCCAGACCATTCCAAATACATCCTAAACAACATGTCTGCAAATCTGAGTCTGTTTTCTCCTACAGTTCCCCAGCTATTCATGACATCACCATCTGTTCAATTGCTGGAAGTAGACATCTCAGAATAATTCTCACCTTTTCTTTCTTCCTCCGCCATTAAGTCTCTAATCTCTCCCTTCTTCTCCATCTCCACTAAATCAGTTAATTACCATCTCTGACCTAGACCTAGGATTACAGTAGCCTAGCTGGATCTCTGCTTTCAGTTCTGCGACCACGAATCCATCTTCCAGAAATGTGCTTCTGAAACACAATTCTGAGCCTGTCATTCAACTAGTTAGATACGCTTTGTGTTGCCCTGACTTGCCCAGTGATATTGTTAGTGCTGAAGTGAATCTCCTCATCAGGAAGCATAAGCCCTTCATCTATTGCTCCCATCGTTTTCCAGTTCTCTCACATACTAGTCACTGATCACATGAGATAGCTAGCTGCCAAATGAAAGTAGTATGCAATTTCAAGCTTCTATAGCTTACATCTACTGTTTCCTCAATCTAGAATTCCCGTATTTTTCTTTTTCATAAAGTCCTATTCACACTAGAATCCACCTTAAACGTCCCTCTATGAAGGGCTTTTTCCTAGTGTCAAAGGTAAAATTGCTTGATCCTCTCTGTG